CTGTGCTTCAACTGAAATGTGCCTAACGGCTACGCGTCCGGATGCTAAGCGTGAGCTACCCAGCTTCAGCACAGTCAGGTCGGACCCCAGAGACCTAATGCCTGTGGGGAAGCAGAAAGGAAGGCGCCTAGCCTGTATAACGTTAACACAAGGTGGTGTAACCTGGGCATGTGAACATCGAGATTTCCATCTGCAACAGGAATGTCGAGCCTACTTTGCGGTAGGTTTGCCCAGAGAGTTTGGACAAGCTATTGTGGTTTTATTGTTTACATCCCTCCACGCGTTGTGCCAGACGCGGAAGTAGCGTGTGACGTCATCGCACTCCCAGCTGTGGCGAGACTAGAAACACAGCACCCCGAGGGAATCTAGATTAAAGGTGTTTAAGCTCTGGCGGACTTTGATCACGTGATTCTGGACACACCACTATCTGTTTTTCTTCCAGTATGTGTGGACTGTTACACCGGGGAAATAGGACCTATTGACCTTAATGTATGCAAACGTTAAGGACGCATACAGTGCCACCCCTCTGCCTGCACTGGGGAAAGCTGACACAACACTGATTCCTGCTTCAGCCTCCCACTACACAACCAACAATGCGCTCATTCAAGGAAGTGGTCTTTCGAAAGCACAGCAGGCTTAAGAGACTGCTTTGGTAGTACGGACTGGAAATGTAGTGCAGGGTTCCGCACTTGTGGGGCACGTTGAGGAGGCTGTTTGACTGCAACTAACTGACTGCCATCAACCTCTGTATGGATGTTTGTTTGTGCGCTGCTATGCCAAACAACAAGCCCTGCATTACAGTCACGTCAAGGGCCTTCTTAAAACCAGAAGAAGAGGGCCACCCGGTGATCAGCAAGGAGCTTAGACGCTTGCAGAGGAACTCAAGGTCTAGCCTCAGGGAAGCCAAAGGAGCCGTACCAGAGGGGGGAGCTGGAGAAGAAACTGTAGAACAACAGGCATTAAGGAGGTGTTGGATGACCATCCACCGCGGCTGCCAGTTCAAATCGGGGGCCACCATGGGCTGGTTGTCCCACCCCACCTATTAACGGCAGCCATGGTGTGTGGAGAGCTGGAGGCTTTGTCCCCAGCAGATGGAGTATCCCCCTCCCCGGACTTCTGAAGGTCTGTGTGTTGAGCTGGGAACTCCCTACAGCCACATCTTTGCACTCCCTGTAGATTTTAAGATTAACTATATTAATTATAATTGTTTTTATAGCTATAAAGTCAATGAAGTCTCCTCTGCTGTTTTTGTTAGGCTGATAGAGGTTTGATACAAATCCAGTAGAAAAAGTTGAAGATTAAATGAATTTACTGGGAACAGGAAGCTGGATGGTGTGGACATAATAACACGGTGGCTCAGTGGTTACCGCTGTCGCCTTAAGCAAGAAGCAAGCCTGTCTGTGTGGAAGGTTGGCATGTTCTGCCTGTTTTTCTGTGGTTTGCCTCCAGCAGCTCCGGTGTCCACCACCATTCAACACACCACGTTAGGTTCACTTCTCCAGTCAGACCCTGGACCTGGACCAAGGCTCTGGTTTAGATCTGGAGTTGCTGGGCGCTGTACAGTGGCTGCCCACTGCTCCTAGTACTTAGGATGGTTAAATGCAGAGGACAGAATTCACTATATGTTGTACTGTGTATGATTGTATATGTGATAATAAAATGTATTGTATAAGATCATAGAGACACAAAATACACAAACACATAACTGAGGTAAACCTACAGTGATGATACAGCTCATTGAACATCACACTGAATAAAGTTTAACAAATACAATGCAGCACCCTGTAAATGAAATCTAACATGTTTACATGTCAGTCACTTGGACACTTTGGTCCAAAGCACAAACCTTGTGATCAAAGACTTTCTGACCTGTTAACTCATATTTTCCCTCTTTATGTTTAACCTTTGACCCGGAGAACGCATGCGCAGTATTCGGGATGGGAGGTCGTTGGACCTGTCGCAGGTGACATGGTAGCCACGGTGTTGTTCTGTAATGAACTGTAATAAAGTCGACAAAGTTATATAAACGTAGTGTTTATTGATTCTAACATTGGTAGCAGAGGATGGCTGCTTGTTACAAAGTTCCGCCGAAGTTTGACGAGACCCGGTCGTACGAAAGTTGGAAAAATTAAATTTTTCTGGACGCGGGTTACAGAACTCGACAAAAAGAAACATGCACTCGCTGTCACCTTGGGGCTCCAAGGAAGAGCCCTGGAAACAGCCATGGAAATACCCGCAGCTGACTTTGACAGTGATACCAGTATGGATACGTTGTTAGCAAAACTGGATAGTGTGTTCCTATAGGAGGAAAAAGACCGTGCATATGAAGCGTATTCCCATTTTGATAGCTTTACAAAAGACAGCTCTCTGTCAATGTCGGACTATATAATTGACTTTGAGCAGCGATATAACCGGATGAAAAAGTACCATATGACTTTACCCGATGCTGTGTTAGCATTTAAGCTCTTGGACATGGCTTGTCTGGACGTGAAAAACAGGCAACTTACACTGACCGCGTGCACGGACTTAAAGTTCGCCGACATGAAATCGGCACTCCAGAGGATTTTCGGAGGAAAAACGCCAGGCACGTCAAATGGAATACAAGTGAACCAGCAGGACGTGGCGTTCTTTACAGAGCAAAGACCACAAGGACGAGGACAACGGTACATGTTACAGACTGGACAACAGAGGCAGCCTTTACCGGGTACTAATCCACTGGATAAATTCGGTAAGAGATCAAGATGCACCATCTGTCAAAGCATGTTTCATTGGGCTAAAGATTGTCCTCATAAGAAGAGTGAACATGTAAAATTAACTGAAGAAGAAAATGTTGAGCAATGTAACATCACATTGTTTACAAAAGCCTCCATGTCTGACTGAAATCTGAAATCTTCCTGGCTGAATCCCTGGGGTCAGCTATTATTGACACTGCTTGTACTCGTACTGTATGTGGGGAGAAATGGCTGGAAAACTATGTGAATGACCTCAGCTCAGACCAAGTGAACCAGGTGCTGCAAACAGAAATCCCCAGTTCCAGGCCATTTCGATTCGGAGATGGAAACTTTGTATATTCCACCAGAAAAGTGAAACTACCTGCTAAAATAGGACAGACAAAATGTCAAAAAAAAAAAAGTGGTCAAAGTTGATATCCCACTGCTGCTGAGCAAAACATCTTTGAAGAAAGCAGGAACCATTCTGGACATGGAAAACGACCGAGCTG